CATCAACTGCATTTCCTCCACAGACTGCCAAATATGTTGGATATTTGTCATAGTTGCCACGCTTGGCATGCGAGTTGCCAACTAAATATTTTTGATATTATGAGCTATGATCAGGAAGACGCTGCATCCCATCTTATGTAGATTTCTACTCCTGTTCGTGAATTTAATTCTTCTCACACGTTCAACGTGAATAAAACTACATTTATGAAATTTTGAAATCTACTCGAATGTAAAAAAATACTGTCATGTGTTGCTAATCAATATTCAATGGGACCAATATTAATAAAGACCACGAAATTAAACCTTATTTTATCAAAACTAAGTATATTTATTTATTTTATTCTTTATTGCATCCTTAAACAAAAGAATACAAAGGGCGGACTTAATGCCTTGAGGCATTCTCTACCAGTCAACCCATGGAGTGGTGAGAATTTGACGTAGGTGTGGCAATATGGAATAAGAGAACACAATACAAATGATAATTAACTACTTACATAATATATACAAACTACTAATAAATAAACTATACATATATAATCTATCCTCACATATATACAATACAAATATGTAAATAAATGCATATACATACAAGTATACATATTTAAATACATACATAATTAGTATATACAAATGACTATGAAGCTTTTCTGATGTCATCGGGCAAAGAGTTCCAAAGGCGTGTAGCCTGAACTGTGAAGGAGTTACCATAGAACTCGATGAAGTGAACTGTAGTACAGATTTTGTTGTTATAAGAAGAGCGTAGGACCCTATCATGAGATGAGGAAAGATAATGAAATTTACTCTTAAGATAAGAAGGCGAAGATGGATCATTTAATATGGAAAAAAGTACAAGCAATATTCTGGAGTTGCGCCTCTGCCGGATTGTAAGCCAATTTAGCTTAGATCTTAGATCATATTTCGCAATACAGATCTAAATCTGTATTGCGAAATATGATCATACTTACGAAGCCCATAGATAAATCTTATACAGTTATTGAGGAGGCGTTCCAGCTTGTTCAGAAGATCTTGGGACAGGTCTGGGTAACACACATCTGCATAATCAATTATGGGTAATATAAGTGAATGGACAAGTGTGATTTTAGATTTTGTGGGAAGAAAATGTTTTAAAGTTTTAAACGATACAGAGAGTAAAACGTGGCAGTGACTATACGACTCACATCTGAAACCTGAGTTCTCCAATTCAGCGTGCTGTCGATGTGAAGGCCAAGATTTCTAACAGAGTTACTGAACGGAATTGTAGTATTATCATAGTAAATAGGAGGTAAGTCTGTCAGATTAATCTTAGCCAGCATCCTTGAGCTACCCACCAGTATAGCTTGGCATTTCAAAGGATTGACCAAAACTCCATAACGAGTAGACCAATCCTTGATAGCTGCTAAGTTGCCCTTAAGGTTTTTTGATTACATTTTGGATCTCCCCTATCTCAGTTTGCACATAAAGCTGAAGGTCATCGGCATACAAATGGTACGAGCAGTCGATGATGCAGGTAATAAAGTTTATAAAAATTGAAAACATTATAGGAGAAAGAATACCGCCTTGCGGCACACCAGCATCCACATCAGCCCAAGCTGATGACAGTTGCCCCACACTGACTGACTGCTGTCGACCGCGAAGATAAGATGCAAACCAATCCAATTCAGTAGGACCAAAATTCAGATGAGACAGTATGGAACGAAGGATTTCATGATCAACTGTGTAGAAATCATTTGAGAAATCAACTAGTACATGTACTGTTATTTTTTTCCATGCCTTGTTTAATATTATCAATAACATTAATTAATGCAGTAGTGGTACTATGACCAGGACGAAACCCAGACTGATATATACTCAGTAGGTTATGTTTCGAAATAAAAGTAGAAATTTGCTTGTAACCACAGGATTCTAAAATTTTGGAAAGAAAGGGTAGAATGGATATTGGAAGAAAATGGTTGGGAAGAATGGGAGTAGGAACTTTTGGGAGAGGTTTTACAAAAGCCCTCTTCCAAAGATTAGGATACTGACCTGAACCAAGGGAAAAATTAATTATATGGGAAATTGCCGAGAGAAGTATATAAACTTAAATAATGAATATTTAATATATTCATTATTAAAGTTAAACTAATATATAATAATAAATAATAAACTATTATTTAATAATAATGGTGTAGTGAGATTGAGAGGTTCTATGGGCAGCTGTACAGATCATCGTTGGAGCCACACGCAAGTGTGAGTAACGATCCAAGAGCAAGTCTTATCCGACACTATTCCGATGATATCCCGGACGTCAGTCTGAGCGAGATTAGAATGGCTCTCCAGCACCTTAAAAACGGCAGGGCCCCAGGCGAGGATGGAATTACAGCGGAGCTTCTGAAAGCGGGTGTAACACCGGTACTTCAAGTCCTTCAGAAGATCTTCGATTCCGTCCTCCATGGTGGCACTACTCCAGATGCGTGGAGCAGAAGTGCGGTGGTCTTGTTCTTCAAGAAAGGCGACAACGCTCTCTTGAAGAACTACAGACCGATTTGCCTTCTGAGCCGCGTATACGTGCTGTTTTCGAGTCATTATGAATCGTCTCGCACACAGACTCGACGACTTCCAGCCTCTCGAACAAGCCGGTTCAGTACCATAGACCACATACATACCCTGCGGCAGATTGTACAGAAGACTGAAGAGTACAATCTGCCACTTTGCCTGGCGTGTGTGCACTATGAGAAATCCTTTGATTCCGTCGAAATTTGGGCGGTGCTACAGTCCCTTCAGCGGTGCCAAGTTAACTGTCGGTATATCGAAGTGCTGAAGTGTTTGTACCTACGTCATCATTAATGATTCATGATTACAAATGTTAGAATCCATGTTGCACCAGTAACATAAGTGACAATCTCTTTTACAGACGTAATCCACCTTCAGGAGTACCTATGTGGTGGAAATGAAATGCACACAAATATCGTAATCTTTTGCCATTAGTTCGCCAATATTTAATAGTTTCTCCATGCAATGTCACCAGTGAGCAATGATTTAGCGATGCTATTATTATACACGAAGAACACCGAAACAGATCTAGGTCATAAAATATAACTTACCGCTACTTAATTTTAAATGTTAATTAATTTAATTAAAAAAATATTAGTCATAAATTGTACTTTTTACATAGAATTTACACCTCCGCATCTGCATCCATTTCCGTTTCTGCTAAAATTTACTTTACAGATATTTTTCTCCCTAATTTGAAATCATTAATAGAGGACAATAAAACGGCGTATGGAATAAAAATTATTTTACAGATTTTTATCACATTTAATTTGAACTTCTTTAAATCACGTCGTTACGGGCACTTTACAGCACACCATGGTCAAGGGGATTTAGGTGTTTAATGTCCTAATGTCATAGTTAACTAAGGCTACCTTAAACTATTTATTATTAATTTTTGGTCCGATCTACGTAGAACAAGCTTACAGTATCTTGAAGTCTATCGAAATCCATAAAATTTATTTTAGGAGCTGGCAAACCATCAAGTCAATCCCAAGAATCACAAAATAGACCTACCACTTTCCATTAGATTTAGACATTTTTTAATTTTTTTCAAATTTTTAATTAGCAGTCCCATCATAAGTCCATGATCACCTTAAAAGTCATCTGATATTCCAGTTTCCAAATATATATAATAAAAGGCTTTTAGAATAGAATCTTTTTTATTCAATATAGTATACTTGTAGCATTGGTTCAGAGAAAATCTCTGTCCTGTGAAAAACCAGCAAGAAACCTAGCAGTACATTTCCTTTAAATAAAGTTAACTTACAATATATCATTTTATAAATTTATGAAATACACACATCGATGACTTAACTTGCAAATCGGCCAACTCCACTTTTGACCCAAAATAATGTTTTTAAGCGGTTAAATGCGAGTAGTATTCACCCACAGTAAGCAAAATGAAAAAACTCCTCAGTATTTAAAACTACGCAGAAAACAGTGTGCACGTAAACAGGGCAACTTTCAGTTTATACAAAGGTACTCTGTGAGGGCAACTCCCAACTGAGACATAGCAACACCAAAAGTGGCTAACTCCTACGCCGGGCGCCATTTTGTACTGGACAGTGACACGGGGACATCCGCGCTTGAGGGCTGAGTTTACTTTTTCCAAAAACTGAGTAAATACCACATAATTTAGGCTAAATACAATACAGTGAATTTAGTGGTAAATAATTTTAAATTATATAACATTATTCTTCTAAATACCTAAAAGGAATATCACTTTTTACCTATGAAATTGTGACCGTTTTTCAGTGTGATATTTTGCGTTTGATTTGGGAGTTTTTTTTGGACTTATCTTCAATTCTATTTTCTTTTTTTTTTTTTGTTTTGTTTATTTGCTAATAATTGTACAAAACTGCTTTTAACACAAATTATATCGGATTTATCAATATAATGATATTTATTTTATAAAAATAATCATTAAAATATTTTGTAATGCAATTTGTTGGTATTTCAGCTGTAGAAGATATCAAGGGCAAAAAAACTTATTGAAGCCGCTTTAAAGAAAAATGACATAATTATCACAAAAGAGTCTATTGAAAATATGCCCGTTATATTGGTTGCTGGTACGGCAACATCTAATGTTGCTTCAGAGGTCGTTACGAAATTTGATCCTCTATCTGATTGTATTTCAACATTCGACCTTGCTACGGAGGTAATGGAAATTGAGACATTGAGACGATGCGAATGTAATACAGTGAAATTCCAGAAGATGAAAGAAATGCAGTGAAATTCCAGAAGATGAAAGAAAACTACTATTTGATAAGTTCTGGAGGATGACTTGGGGAGAAAAAAAGGTTTTCGTGAATGGGTTTGTACAAAAGATACCTACAAAACGGCCAAGAGACAGGAACGACCCATCTTTTACAAAAAGAGAAAGTACAATGATATATAACTTGCTTTTGAAAGACGATCGTCGTGTAAGAGTATGCAAAATGATGTTTCAAAATACTTTATGTATTACCAAAATGTCTATCTGGAACTGGAAAAAAGGTAAAGACAATATGCCTGACAACAAAGAAAATGTTAGAAAAAATCCTCACGAAGCAGAAGTAAACTCACTTAAAAAGTTTTTGAAGAACATACCAAAAATGGAAACGCATTATTGTCGTAAACACACATCCAAGCTTTATTTGTTACCAGAATGGTTATCAAAGAAAGCCCTCTATGATTTCTACAAATCAGATTGGTGCCCGTCGCAAAATATCGAACCTCTGTCAATTGCGAAATTCAGTAACACGTTGGAAATTGAAAATATTTCATTGTTCAAGCCCAAAAAAGATGCATACATTTTGTATGAATCAATTTATATTACACAGTGCATTATCCGTGTCCCGTCCGGGCCCGCTCGACGCACTTCAATACCACGTTTGTTGCACGGTCCTGCCCCACCCATTCCACGTCCCGTCGTAATCCGAACATTCTTCCGTGCTGCGTCCGAGCACTGAGCGACGAATGTTTAGAGAGGGTACACGCACGTGCAAGTTTATTTTACAGAAGATTTTGGAAACTGAGTTTCTTTTCTTGCAATATTATTCTATCCATGACTTTGCGGATAATGGATGATGAAAAATTAATTGAACAAGTCCGAAAGTATCCGGAGTTGTATGACGTGTCACATCAAAAATATGTGGATACAAAATTCAAAATGTCATTATGGACGACAATTGGTAATGTATTAAATGAAACAGGTGAGTATGTACTTTAATCAATTTATTTAAGAATTACTCATATAGTTTTTTAGGGTTAAGTTTCCTTAGGTTCTATATAAAATAAAATAAATCATTTATTGCAACTGTAAACACACATACATATATTAAACCACGTACAACAATGAGGAATACAATCAATATTCGTCTATTATTCGTACAAATACTTAAGAGTTTACCTTATTCAAAATGCAGTTAGACAAAATGTAAACAAAAAAAACCTAAAACGTATTTTTTATATTTTACTAAATGTATTTTTTATACCTAGATCATATTAGAAAGACTACTTAATAGAAAGAAAACAAGATTTTATTCAAATCTGCACGACGTCGTATCAAAAAAGTTTGTTCTTTGTTTTCATTTTGTAAAATGCAGTGACATTTTGAACGGAGTTTATTATTTGTTTATTTTTAAGATTTTTATATTTATTATTTGTCACTTAAAACGAGGATCTATGCGAAAGTGCTGCCCCCACTAGAAATAAATAATCTGACATGAAATTCAATGTCGTATCAGTTTTATTTATTACTTGTAACATATTATTATGTCCTACTAGCAAACATGCTTTTTATGTACCTTTATAAAAAACTACAATAATTATGATTGTTTCTTTTTATTTGTTTGTTATCTTTTTTGTACAATCAGTTATGGGATATATGTGTCCAGATTGGTATACTGTTTAGTATGGCAACCTGGATACATATAAATCCTATAACCAACTGTACTTATTAAAAATATCCGGATGGTGATGAAAAGTAGTTCTTAAAATTTTCTCTGACCGCAAATGTATCGTTAGTATTATTGTCTGTGATGTTGTGGTCCTGGTGGATTAAGAATAGACTGTCTTAATTTTGATTCAACATGTAATTGGTAAACATACATTTTTTATAACCCGGTTTTTGTTATAATCAGTGGCATTATAAATGGTAACCATATGCTGTTTAGTAATTAACTTCAAAATGTACAGTTGCCTCACAGTTAATACTCGACATATCTCATACAATTCTTTAGTGGGAAATCTGTATGGCCTAAATGCCATGACTTTTAAGAGGGATCTTTGTGCCCTTTCCAGGCGGATTAGAAAAGTCTTACAGGCTCCTCCCCAGACGTTTATACAGTACCCTATTACAAACTGAACTAAAGCATAGTAAATTGAACGCAAGAGAGGTAAATCAGCAGTGTATCTTAACTTTTTAAACACCCAAATAAGTTTTCTAGTACGTTCAGTTGTAAGCTCTATGTGTGAGCACCAGTTAAGTTTGTCGTCCAGTATTACACCAAGATATTTGACACTATTGGATTTATTAATTGCAAGACATGAACATGAGGGGATATTATTGAAAGGGTTAGTACACGAGTGGACTTTAAGATCAAGGTTTACGGATCCAGTGTTTCCCAAGGAGAACTGCATGTATGTAGTTTTCGAAATATTTAAAGTTAGGAGATTACCGCCGAGCCAATGGCCAACTCTGTGAAACCCTAGCTGAGCATTATGTCGAGCCTCATCCCAAGTCTTACCATGGAAGACTAAAGCTGTATCATCAGCATAGGTAAATATTTTGCCGTTTTCTAAAGGTTGCTGACATAAATCATTTATATAAATAAGGAAGAGACTAGGTCCTAGTATACTTCCCTTTGGAACGCCACATACAATCGGTTCCTCGGGGCTGACATATTCACCCACTTTAACCTGTTGTTTACGGTCACATAGGAAGTCCTTGAAAATCATGAGTGCATTGCCACGAATACCAACGCGTTCTAACTTGCTCACAAGGATAGGAATCGAGACCGTGTCAAACGCCTTGGCTAGGTCGAGGAAATACCCCAAACATTTTTGCTTTGCGTCAACCTTTGATGTTACAAATTCTGTCAATTGAATTACCGCGTCTTCAGTGGACTTCCCCGACCTAAATCCAAATTGTGAAGAAGATATTACTTTATTATATTCGAAAAATTTAATAAGTCTATGATTTAAAGATTTTTCCAAGATTTTAGAGATAGACGAGAGTACTGAAATAGGCCTGTAATTGGAAATTTCGTCTCGGGATCCATCCTTATGAACAGGAGTGATCAGCGATTTTTTAAAAACTTTTGGAAAGATTCCTTGCGCATAACAGAGCTCAATAAGTTTAGTCAAAGGTGGAACTACTAGATGTACTGATAATTTGAGAAGTTGCACAGGTATAGAGTCCCATCCTGTAGCAGAGTTATTTTTTAAGCTTCTGATAATCGATTCTACCTCTCCCTCATCTGGTGGAAGTAGCACAAAAGAGTTAGGAACCGATGGAATTGTGAAATTATATGGAGAGCTATTTTGATTTGAAATATTTGCAGCGTCAGCTAGTTTTTTACCAATATTAGAGAAGTATTTATTTATGTTTTCTACATCACGAACAGCATTTTCATTAGAAGTCAAAAGGTTATCAGCACTCGTCTTTTGCTTCGTGTAATTTATTATAGTTTTAATTGCATTCCAGGTATCTTTATTAGTTTTCGCATTACGTAATAGTGACTTTTCGTAGTTTCGTTTAAAGTTTCTCAACAAAGAGTTACAATAATTTCGGTAACGCTTAAAAGTGATTTCAAGAATTTTATTTTCAGGACTTTTTTTAAGTTTACGATGAAGTTTGTCTCTGTGTCGAATACAACGTAAAAGACCAAGAGTTAGCCATGGTTTTAGCGTTCTTTGTTTATTAGGGACACGACGGGAATGGGAGTGAAGTGAAATTGCACTAGCCAACTTTTCTACAAGAGTTAATGCGGCTTCATTTGCATCAGATGAAGTGTTTATAAATGAAAAGTCCACTGTCTCTAAATATTTTAAACAAGCATCGTAGTTGATTCTAGTAAAAATCTTTGGTTCTTTTGGTATTTGCTGGCCAGGGCAAATGCTGAGTAGGATTGAAGAATGGTCTGTTATAGTACTATTAATCTCAAATACTGATGCTGCTAAACTAGTTTTCAGCATGACATGATCTAGACAGCTGTGTAACCTAGTAGGATAAATGTGACCTGGAAGCAAACCTAGCTCCGCTGTTAGGTTTAAGTACGCTTCACTTCTTCGATCGTTGTTATTAACTTTAATGTCAATATTAATATCACCAATTAGTATCATGTTTTTGGTTGAGTCCAGTGGACGAACTATATTTTCTATAGAATTCAAAAAACTGTCAATACATTGAGTCGACGGAGATCTGTAAGAAGCTAAAATGAAAATGTCGGGATCAATAATTTTAATAGATATAAAATTAGCACCTAATGGCTCTGGTTCTTTTATTGTACATTTAATACCTGTTTTAACATATATCACTATACCGTCGTTTTGATTGAGACATTTGTGCGTATAGTACATATTGTGATTTTCAAATTGAGGTATTTGTTTACGGGCACTCAGCCAGCATTCAGTTAAGATAATGATGTCACATTCAAACTTAAAACGCGACAGTTGGACCAGTAAACTATCTGAGTTTTTGTATACGCTGCGAATATTTTGACAGAATATTTTCAGGGAATTAGACTTATTTTTAATCAGTGAGTTACATGTTTCAGTGTCGCACTCATAAGCCAATGCTACATCTATGTTGTCTAATTCTGTTGAGATATTTTCATTTGCATCAATTACTGCGAACAGGTTGATAGATTGGCACTTATTATTGTTATACGTACTTGGTTAATACTATTAGTAGACAAGCTATTGATGTGATTTTTATGAGTATGAGTGAGGTTATAATTGAGTTTATGTGTTTGAATAGTTTTTGCACGATGATATTTGGGGTGAGTAAAGTGAAGATGTCCAGGTCAGTGTCAGTATAGTGGTGAAGTGTATCCACAGTATCATAAATTGTTTTAAAAATTGTTCTTAAAATTAACTTACAAGATTTTCTATACATACAATTAAATTTACTGTCAAAAATGAGTGACAGAACATGTTTTAGAAGGCATATTCTAAATTTATATATACGTAATCTAATTCTGCTGACTAAATTTCTCCAAATCGCTCTGGAATGACATTTCTCGATTGGGTTCTGCATTCTCCGTGTCAGTTGGCTTAGAGAGAAAAAAATCATCAGAATCAATTCTAATAGACCTTTCACCAGTCAATTTCGGATAAAAACTTGGCCATTAGTCGTAATTGTATTTATTGCTTTTGGCGTACATTCTAGCTTTTCGAAATAGGGCTTTGGAGCTTGGTGGTAAATATTCTGAGATATATATTGGTATGCGCTTACCAGATAACCCAATGGATTCAGAGTTAAGTTTTTCTTCGGTCGGTTTCTTTTCATTGAAATTTCTAGCCGCTGACAAAATATTATTTTTGTCGCGCACCGTTACATATTCGGCCACGATAGTTTTATTCGTTCCAGGTTTACCCGGTAGACGGTAAACATCCCGCACTTCATCGTGTTTGATGGGAATATGCAGAGCATTACATACGGTGCTTACTATGGAAAGCAGGTCATCGGTCGTCTCCCTTTCTTGCATAGGGATATTTCTAAATTCTATTGATGCCGTGCGGGACTTAACCTGTAGATCGTGTATTTTTCTTTCCATTTTCATTAAATTTTCTGTGTACTCGGAACGTTCTTTTTCTAATTTTGCTATCTTTTTCCTCATATCATCATATTCTGAGGAGGCAAATGTCATAAATTTGCGTATCTCCAAATTAGTCTCTTGTATAACGCTATTTTGCTGTTTCAAATCGGAAATTTCGGTTATCAATTTCGAAAATTTTAAGTCTTGTTCAGCTGCCCAGTTCTTAAACATTTGTTAAATATCTTTTTTCAGCCTAGAATATTCGTCTAATGGTGATCCATCAAGACGTGGGCGCTTTTTCCGTGTAGAAACGTTGGAGGTTTCAATTTCATCCTCGTGACGCATGGCACTCACCATATCGGGCTCGGATTGTATTTGTAGTAATACACTCTCGGACACAGGTGGCGGAGTGTGTTGCACGAGTGATATTTTTATTATAATTTTCAGCAATTAATACTTGTTTGTAGAAATAGCTATTATGCTAATAACGAGTGCGAGACAGAAGACTCCGGTGGAGGCGATCTTAATTACTGTAGGTTATTAGTTCTGTCGGCTGCCGGCTGTCGAGTTCAATTGTACGCTGTTGGTTACAAATATATGAAAAACTTACGAGAACTCCGAAGATGTAATTTGGTAGAATTATTTTATTTTTATTGGTAGAATGTACACTTTTATATTTGGCAACATTTATGAATGAAGTGACTTGACGAGTTGACAGCGACAGCGATGTCAATTATATAAATAGTGTCAACAGATTTTAATATGAGGATACGTAAGTATCATATTAGTCTGTGATATGACGTAAATATAACTTTTGTATTCGTGGGTAGAAGATATTCAATTATACGCCGAAAATAATTTTTAGTTTTAGATACTGATTTTACACGGTTCACAGTTAGTTTCGATATTGAAAACACTAATGTGGAGACTTAGGCATATGTACTTTGTGCATAAATAAAAAACAAACAATAACAATAAAATAGTAGTAAACCACAGCACTACTCTTCATTGTGATGACGTCACTGTCACGACTGGACGACAATGGCGTAGCTGACTTTCCTTTTTGAAACTTTCTTAGAGATGTAACCGTATCGCACGTTGTGTACCGATTTCGAAATCGATCTAACCAAAATATATTCAAATTCAAATCGTTTATTGCATCTATAATGTACAGTACATTAGCAGTTACAGTGACCATTATAGACCCTTTCGGGCGTTGCAATATACAAAAAATATACAATAAAATAATTAAATGTACTTATAACTATGCAACATCATTATAATCTTCACAACATAAAATTTATGCAAATTGGCTCATGTAAAGTAACATGTATTTGGCTATTTTGAAAATAAATTTTCATTTAATACTTAGTAATTTGCTGCTTAGTACTATCTAACTATCAAAAAATTCCGTGAGCGTGGAAAAGCATTTAGAAATAAGATACCTAATCATGAAGATTTTTATTGAATGAACTCAATTTAACTTCAGATTTTATATTTATGGGTAGTTTATTAAGCTATTGCATAGCTTCTATCGCGGGCCTTGAGCGCGGGGACCGAATCCAGAAATTCCGTAACGAAAAAAACCTCACGCTCCCCACTCCGACGGGCACGGAGGTGTGGCTTGAAGGCCGTGCATTGTATAACGTCGTTTCTTTTCGGCAGTCTTCGACACGGTGTTTGTGTGCGTGCAACTAGACGTATTGTACGACTCTACGACGCTCGCACGAATCGAGACGAGCTGCTCCGAAATCGGACGAATACATAAGCAGCTGTTTATGAGAAAGTATATAGGTGTATAGGTATTTATGTACAAAAGTGAATAGCTGTACTTGTAAAATTTGTGTATAAAGTGTTTTGAATATGAATGAACAAAGTGTATTTATTATTTATTTATTTAATAAAAGAAAAAAATTTGTTTTCTTATCGGTCACCACGCTCAAAAAGTGTAACTTGAATTAATATCAAAGAAAAAGAAATACTGCATAAATAAAATAAATAAATAATTATAATTGCATAAGTTGATACAAAATGCTATGCAATAGCTTTACCGCGGCAGTCCCCGAGTGCCACACGTCTTTTTTAATATTATAATTGCCATGTAATATGGGCTACAATTGAGCATTTTGGTTCTAGGTGAGGGTAAATATAACCTATCTTTATGCTTAGTATTTACATTGTGTGTTTCTTTTATCTGGGTGAAGAAGTGTCTATTTTTAAATACGAAGTTACTTATATCCTTTATGTAAATAGAAACTAACGTTAATAATTTAAATTTAATGAAATAGGGTCGGCAGCTATGTCTGTTATCAATTCTGGCAAGTATCCTATGACATTTTTTTTGCAAAATGAACAATTCATCTGCATTAACACTATTACCCCAAAGAATAATGCCATATTCAAGCCATGAAAAGGCATACACGTAATATGTGGAAAGTGCAGTTTCTAAATTTGTGCTATGATTAATTTGATAAAGCACATAATATGTAAATTTAGAGAGTTTGCATTTAATTTTTTCAATGTGCGACTTCCAGTTTAAATGTGTATCTACATTAAGTCCAAGTAAGTTGTACGCGTCTATTTCTTCTATTAGGGTATTTTGAAATTGAATAATAATATTTAGGGGCGGTTTATTGATTGTTTATTATTGTTATTTATATGGACAAAATTGTAAAACTTTTCTTTTTAAGGTTTATTTCTAGATTATGGCTATCAAGCCAATGAGTGGCATTATGAAGTGTATCATATAAAGATGTTTAACTGTTAAAATAAACAGTTACAAAAAATTAACAAATTTATTGAATAAATAAAATTAACCTTATTGAATAAAATTATCAAACACGGTTATTTGTGCCATCTAGCGTAATCTTTGCGTACCACCTTGAGTATGAATAAATTTTCGTTCGATAAAATGACTTCATCTATAGAATATAGTAGATGGCGCTATTAAAATTTTATATAGTACTGAAGAAATGCAGGAAATATTCTTCAAAAACATCAATTATTCTTTTGATTTAGTTAAAACTTAGGCTTCTCATTAAAAAAGAATTGTAACAATTATTTGCTATAAAATTAAACTTATATCTCACTGTGGTTGAAAATTATCATATTATTAAATAACAAATCAATGCCGTTAAGTCATTTGAAGTGATATTTTTATTAAACCGTTCAAACTGATATTTTTAACACATATAGGTAACGCTATTGGCTGAATACGTTAGTGGTTGATGTTAATTTTATGTATTTTGCTGTTATGTCATTGGCTAAAATATTGGTTGGTGTTAATTTAAACTGTTTAAACGATGCGCGTCAGTTTATTATCATTTTATTTAGAGTTTATTTCTCCGGTAGGAGTGATTGAATTCTGCGGTTTACTTTTTCATCAAAATTACTAGTTCATATAAAGGTACTCTATTACTAGGCTGTATAAAAAGCTGCAAAAATAAATACTAGGAAAGTTAATTCAGATTTACTGAAATTAGTTATTACTTATATTATTTAGTGTAGTGTACAAAAATATAGGATTTTGGTTAGAGTTTAATTTTCACCTTTTATCATACGGAGACGTCATCACACACAGCTGTGGGACCATCTTGAAAAAATTGTAATGTTTTTTACATTTAGTAAATACTAAATACCTAATAATCATTGTAAATAATATAAAATTATTATAAATCATAATATAATATAAGTATTGAAATAATTAGACTGCGTGTGTGAGTATTAATTAGATTTTAATAATAAAAAGAATCCAAGCATGAAGAAATGTTTATTGAATTAAAATTTCATTCGTAAAATAGCAATAAAATTAACACAACCGATTAAAAATAAAAATTCGCTACAAAAGTAAGTAATATTTATAACTGTTAATATTATGTGTTAAAAAAATTAACAAATAACTTTTAACAAATAAATAAATTTAACTATTAACGTCATGTCTAGTATCATAGATAAGCACTTCAGAGCTAATGTTGTTACTTTTTAAAAGTATTGACAAGTCATCTGCAAATAATACTGTCAGTGTTGATTCTCTAAACACTTTGGCAGGTCATTTACATAAATAAGAAACAGCTTTACAGCACACAACCTAAAACGCTGCCCTGTGGGATTGAACTAGTTAGGTGTTTCTCTTTAGAACGAACTTTTATTATTTCATTTATAATTTAGTTATAGTGTTCAATTTATACTATTTGCCTCGGATTATTTAAATAGGATTTGAACCAGTTATGTACTGGCCCGCGGATACCGGAATTCATAAGTTTTAAAAGTAGTTTATCATAGGGCACCCTGTCGTATGCTTTCGTCATATCAAGTAAAATACCAAAAGTATGTTTTTTATGATTTAAATTTTGTAGGGTCATGTGTATGAACATATATACAGCTAGGGTAGCTGATCTTGATTTTCTGAATCCATTTTGGCTACCATCTAGTAATACATACTTTTCAAGGATTGAGTAGTCTATTACACATTGCTTTTTCGTAAATCTTTGAAAAGGTGGGCAATAGGGCTATTGGTCTATAGTTGTTATACACAGAGATCGACTCATTGATATGATGCTGATGCTACCAGATGATTTTGAGATTGATAAAGAAAATCGCACAACACAAAATTATAACTTGCTCTTCATACCTTAAGAAAAAAATAAACATTCATTATTTGTTATTTTATATTATTAAAATAAAAAATTCATCATCATCGACGCTTTCCAAAACGCAAATGAGTTCTGAGGAATCGTTCATGTTGCACTGCACTACTTTTTCTGCTATTTGTTTATGACGTCATCAAGGTGTCATCTACTCTTGACTATGGCAACCAATGCACTGATAATCGATGACGCGCTAAGGATGCTCCAGAGTTGAGATATTAGATTTATTATGCGAAGTTGATTTGATGGAATTTTCTTTTATTTATGTAGCTGATGATAGTTATATGTTTCTTACCTTTTGTTTTATTCAAATATCAATAATAATTTAAAAAATAACATATTTGTGTTTAATTTTGAACAGTTTTCAATAAATCTATGCCTAATGCATTACAACACTAGCGGTCAAACGTAGACGACTTTGGCGTGCTGGACATAGTATTTGCTTAGATAAAAATCCATTTTTTTAGTTCATTGTTTCTTAGTACTTGTGGCTCTAGGAGACTTTTATACTCACATGTTGCTGGATTATTCTTTTTTGAGGAGTGTAGAATTAAAATACCAGTAATAATTTTCCAATATCTATATTTCATATTTTTGTGGGCCAGGTTTTTTGCCAACTATAGACGTCGTTGGCGCTCAGGGCACGCAGATGCTGGTCAAGTATAGGCGATTTTGGTGTTCAAAAGGTTAAATAAGAAATTTCAATAAGTAAATATTTAACAATTAATGCTTATAAAATATTAATGAATGTTTTGTATTTTTGAATAAATTTCTTTAAGTACTTTATATTAATCCAATTGTAGTAACTAATAAGCATTTTAAATAATACAGCTTAAAAATTATTTACATATATGTTACAAACCATACTCTAATGCCAAATTAAGCTGTAACAAAGGTGAAATAAGACCTAAAAATGTGACTATAATATTTCTTGATTTGTTCTTGAACTCTGTTAGCAGTTGCGCTGTGTGGCATGGATGCATTATGAAGTATGGCCTATGAAATAATGGATGCTCCTGTTGAGTTATGACTGAATAAAATTCCTCTGTGGTAATTCTGAAAAGATATGATATTTTGTTGGTGCTTATCACAATTACAAAAGATTTATTGTTGTTCTGTAAGGATAAATTAAGTAGGTAATAATTATTTAAGACTTTATAGTAAAAAGGAAAATAATTTTTATGTCTTAATATGTAAGTGTTCAGTTTATAAAACATTCATTGTGCTTCAGTTCATTAATCGAAGCTATATTAATTTATAAATTTTATATATTGTGACATTTTATTTTATTAAGTTCTGATTATAAACAAATTAGGGCTTAAGGTACGGCCGTTTCCTTAGGCCCAACACACAATAAATTTTGATAAATGTGCTGCTAAGGCATGCTATAAAAAGATATGAAATGTAGAATACTTATGTTATCCTCAATTTCAACTTAAACTTATTCCTAAGCTCTCTATAAATATAAACATTTTTAAAAAAAAAATAGAAGAAAAAAATCCTCTTCTAAGCAAAACGAAATACACATTTTAAGCAAAAATGTGGTTTTATTTGATGTTACAGTTATTACCTATTAATTTCAATTTTCAAAGAACCAGGAAAACTAAGCATTTACAACTCTGTTCAGTAACTTACTGAATAAAACACATCCGTCGAATCTCTTCAAGCTTAAGTAAAGTTCCAGAGGAATTCCAAACATTAAAACTCCAGGAAGGTACACCGTAACTCAAATTATAAAATATAACATATTCTATTTTATATAAACATAATTCATTTTGTGACTTGAATGTTATAAAGGCCTCTTTTTTAATATATGACTTGTGTATTTCATCTTTATGTTCATATATTCGCCACCCGTCGTGCACTTTATCTGATATTTTTATAAAATGTTTGGCTGAAGCTAAAAAAAATTCAGGAGTTATTGTGTCTATATCCATTTAACTCCTTTATGTAGAAACAGTTTTCATTTTCACTATCAAACAGAATAAAAGGAATATAACAATATAATAACAATAAAGATTCGCGATTTACATGTCATATGCATATGTCATCTAGTAGTCTAGTACATAGTCAGTAATCTATGGTTCCAAAACATTGCACAGTATATGACGTCATACTTTTGCGCCATTTGGAAAAGTGTTGGCGATTATTTTGTCATTTTGTGCTCCAAAAATCATTATATTCTCACAATCGATATACCATCAATTATTCTATAATTTTTTGTATTTGAATAAATAGAAACAAATTCTGGCATGCTTCATTCGGCAAACACAATTAAAAATTGTTTTATTATGGCCGGATATCCGACACAATATGGCGGCGGCACGCTAGTACAATAAAGTGTCAAATGATGGCGTCATTTGCATTGGACAGTACCAGCACCCCTGGAGAATCCCTCGCTGAGCATCCACGACCATGTTTCTCCACTTCTGAGCGAGCTCAGGCTGCCCTGCGTATTCTGGGGGGGGCAAAATTCCGCTCAAGACTACAACTGCTCAGGGCAAACGGAGCAACAAGACCAAGGCGACCCCTGCCACGCTGTCCGTGAATTTCTGCAATATCAGGGGACTTCACTCTAACCTACACGCCGTCCACCACCATCTCGAGACGGCGAGGCCGGCTCTGCTCTTTCTGACCGAGACGCAGGTGTCCTCTCCGGCTGATGTCTCGTATGTCTCCTACCCGGGGTACAAACTGGAACACTCCTTTGTGCCTCGGGCTGGAGTTTGCGTTTACGTCAGAGAGGACATCTGTTCTCGACCCCTCGACAGACTTGAAGGTTCGGACCTATCCATCCTTTGGCTACGCGTAGACAGCGACGACCATCTGCGCGTCTACGGGTGCCTCTACAGGTCCCATAGCGGTAATGCCGAAACAGACCGACTATTCGACCACGTCCAAATGGCTGCAGATTCGTTGCTACAGCAGATCCCCTCCGCAGAGATCGTGATCCTCGGCGACTTCAACGCCCATCACGCCGAATGGCTTGGTTCACGTTTAACCGATCATGCGGGGAGATCTGTTCATGATTTTGCCTTGGCATATGGTCTGACACAACTGGTTACTTCGCCTACGCGGATTCCAGATGTGGAGGATCATGCACCTTCCCTGTTGGACCTTCTGCTGACCTCTCACCCGGATGGATATCAGATTTCTGTCGACGCCCCTTTAGGCTCCTCAGACCATTGTCTGGTCCGGAGTGTGGTGCCACTCACGCTGAAATCGCGGTTGCATTCTGCAGGCTGCCACCGTGTTTGGCACTATAGGTCAGCCGATTGGGATGGGATACGTTCTTTCTTTGCATCCTACCCTTGGGGGCGGGTTTGCTTCTCACCGGATGATCCTAACGTTGTTGCGGATTCTGTTGCTGATGTGGTACTTCGGGGTATGGAACTTTTTGTTCCTTCCTCTGTGGTGCCCATTGGAGGCAAGTCTCAGCCATGGTTTGGTCGCTCCTGTAAAATAGCATCATGCTATAAGCAGGAGTGCTACCAAGCCTGGGCTGATGCATCAGCGTCCCGGGACGTAAACACCAGCGCTCTAAAAAAGAAGTATAATTCCGCCTCTAGGTCCTTCAAAAGAGTCATTGCCAAGGCAAAGTCAGAGCACATAGGCAGAATTGGCGAGAAACTAGTTCACCTTCCTTTTGGAACTCGTGCATTCTGGTCTCTCCAAGGCTGTCCAGGGGAATTTCTGTCAGCCATCTCTTCCATCTCTGCACAGGGAGGACGACTCACTGGCTCTTTGCGTTCTTTGCGTCTAACTCGACTCTCGATGACGGGGGAAGTACTCCGCCGACCATCCCGCGGTGTGAGTGCTCCATGCCGGAAGTGCACTTCACACAGCGCTTGGTTCGCAAAGCACTCCTCTCCCTGGACATCCACAAGTCGAGTGGGCCTGACGGAATCCCCCCCAATTGTACTGAGGACGTGTGCTCCAGAGTTGGCACCGGTTTTAACGCGTCTTTTCCGGTACTCCTACTCCCTAGGCGTAGTCCCAAAATCATGGAAGACGGCTTACGTCCACCCGATCCCTAAAAAAGGCGACCGCTCCGACCCGGCCAACTACCGGCCAATCGCCATCACCTCCTTGTTCTCCAAAACAATGGAGTCCATTGTAAACTGCCAGCTCATGAGGTACCTTGAAGATCACCAGCTGATTAGTGACCGCCAATACGGTTTTCGCCGTGGTCGGTCAGCTGGTGATCTTCTGGTCTACCTAACTCACAGATGGGCGGAGGCAGTAGAGTTCAAGGGGGAGGCATTGGCCGTTAGTTTGGACATTGCGAAGGCCTTCGATCGGGTTTGGCACAAAGCGCTTCTTTCGAAGCTCCCTTCCTTTGGGCTTCCCGAGAAATTGTGCGATTGGATCACCAGCTTTCTTGCAGATCAGAGCATCAAGGTCGTTGTAGACGGTGCAAGCTCCGATTGCAAGCCTATTAATGCTGGTGTTCCACAGGGCTGCGTGCTATCGCCAACGCTGTTTCTTCTGCATATCAATGATATGTTGCATACCCGTAGCATTAATTGCTATGCAGATGACAGCACTGGTGATGCTCTTTACACCGGCCGAGCCAATATTTCTCGGGAAAACGTCTCCGAGTGCCGGGACAAACTTGTGTCTGAAGTCGAGTCTCTGCTGGACAGAGTCTCGGATTGGGGGCGACTAAATCTAGTCCAGTTTAACCCCCAGAAGACACAAGTTTGCGCGTTAACCGCTAAAAAGAACCCCTTTGTCGTATCCCCTCAGTTTCAAGGCACTCCCCTTGTTTCCTCAGCCAGTATCGGAATCCTCGGCGTCGACATATCGAGTGACGTGCAGTTTCGTGGTCACTTGGAAGGGAAGGCCAAATTGGCCTCTAAAAAGCTTGGCGTGCTCAGCAGAGTGGGACAGTATTTCATGCCGGCACACCGCCTGCAACTTTACAAGGCGCAGGTTCGGCCGAACATTTAATACTGTTCCCATCTCTGTGCTGGGGCTCCCCAGTACCAGCTTCTTCCACTTGACTGCATCCAGCGCAGAGCGGCTCGAATCGTCGACAACCGAGTGCTTTCCGATCGGCTCGATTCACTGGCGCTGCGAAGAGATGTTGCATCTCTTTGCGTATTTTATCGCATCTATCACGGGGAGTGCTCTGAGAAATTGTTCGGATTAATCCCAGCCGCCAAATTTCGTGAACGCACTACACGTCAAACGTCCCGATACCATCCACACCATCTGGATGCTTGGCGGTCCACCACCGTACGTTTCACAAGGAGTTTTCTTCCACGTACAACCTCTCTGTGGAATAGTTTACCACCGGCGATTTTTGCGGACCGATACGACCTGGGGACCTTCAAGAAAAGAGCTTAGTCCTTTTTAAAGGGCCGGCAACGCACCCGCAATTCTCCTGGTGTTGCGGTTGATCATGGGCGGCGGTAGTCACTTAACATCAGTTCAGCCGCATGCTCGTTTGCCCCTTCTTCTATAAAAAAAAACACGCATACGTCTAGTCGCACGCACACAAACACCGTGCCGAACTCTGCCGAGTGCCGAAGTCTGCCGAACTGAAACGACGTTAGACGATGCACGGCTTTCAACGCCACACCTCCGTGCCCGTCGGAGTGGGGAGCGTGAGGTTTTTTTCGTTACGGAATTTCTGGATTCGGTCCCCGCGCTCAAGGCCCGCGATAGAAGCTATGCAATAGCTCAAAAATAAACTAATTTGTAATCTGTACTTTGTTGCACCTTTTGATATTGTAAATATAAACTTTGAAAGCAAATCGAAAAAATCTAGGTCTAAAAGATTGATTTTCTAGAAATCGATCTTTTAGAGCTAGATTTTTTGTGAATCTAGTACCAATCAAGTACGAGTGTGGGGTCGGGACACTGTAACACCATTGTGAAAGAGCGGAACCTGTACTAGGATACCCTATCCTAGTACAGGTTCCGCTCTCTCATAATGGTCAATAATTGTATCATATAATTAAGACAATAATCTAAGCATGTTCTTGTTTTATGTACCATTTTGATTGGAAATAAACTATTATTATTATTATTATAGAAATAAGCAGTAACAACAAATACGAAGAAACTGATAAATCTTGTGTTTTAAATTATCCGTTTCTAATTTATTCTGGTATTATTCAAACCAAACTGTAAATGATTACCAACTCTAAATAATTGATATCGATTTTTTTAACAATCGAATATTGCACGTTCCCATTTTTGATTGGCATGCTTAGTGCAATAAGTCTGACAGCTGTCAAAATGTATTTCTTAGATTTGGTTGACTATAGGGGTGTCGGATCAGTGAGTCGGATCCGTAAAAAGTTACTCTTTACGGAACCGACTCACTGATTTGAATAACTGAAGAGATTTAAAAGATTAGTTCAGTAACAACGTTTTAAATGCATCATTTGGATCTGAAATATTACTTTGCTCTGTGCTCATTTTGTGCGACGCGTCGCTCGCGAGGCGACTGACTGATGAGTGAGAGAGACAGACTAAGACACTGATTAACTTAACAATTGACTTGTGAGTGGCGAGTGAGCAGGCAAAGTGATTACAATCTATACAAGTCATAAAGATATATTAAATGAGAAGTGTATCACTCAACACGTACGGATTTTCGCTGTGGTTATTCATGAACGTAAAAATGACCACTAAGGCGCTTACGTACCAAATAGTATACGGTCGTTTTTGCATGCAATGTTTGCATTAACAAGTTGTCATTTAACGTTGATACGGC